TGCTGGACATAGGCCTCTCCTTAGCAAGGAGGTTTTGGCCTACTATATCACGCTGGCCAGACGGGTTGCTATAGGGTTTGTTTCAAGTTTTCCTTCTCTTTGCAGTGCTGTTGTCCTGCTTAGTTTGCACCCTTAATCGGCTCTAACAACACCCACGGGATGAATAGGGGTGGTGACATTCCGTATTCTTAATCCGTCACCACACGAATACAAGTCCACAAAAAAATAATAGTATAAAAATGTTCAGATTTCAAGTCATAATGTCATAATGTGTAAGTTTTTTTTAGCAGGCAGTCATAGACAAGCCCAAACACATAACAAAACCAAACACATAATTTATGATGATTTTAAACGTACGTACATTTAAAATGATCATAAATTATATGTTTGAAACTGTTGTACCCACAAGACTTATACAACAGGGACGAACATGTTAAAAAAAACGTTTGCTACAAGCGCGCCACTACCGCTACCCGCATATCGATAACTATTCATAACTACAATACATCGTAGTCACGTATTACTAATACATTTTGGTGCTCCATGGCACTCACTGTACGTTAAGTGAGCATCACTAACAACTATATTTATATATGTAAAAGCGAAAGTTCCGATTAACTCCTGTACACGAGATACAATACATTTCCTTCACTTCACTATTTAAAATTAACTGTTATACATCGTGCCCACTGTGTATAGAATCTCAAATATATATTTTTTTAAGAAACTCCTCGGTTGATGTCCTTTCCATAGTCATGTAATGACACCTTATTTTTTAAGTACAAATAGCTGTTAGAACAAAAAAAAAACTCTAACGCGTAGAGATTGGATACATAATAGTATAAACAGGGTAACTATAGGTAAATGTGTTTTTTTTATAGATTTTGAGATACACCTGTTTTTAATTAATTAATGAGCATTCTATACGTGAGTACTAGGTTTTATAATGATAACGAATGACAGAGTAGAATGGAATAATTATACTTATTGCGCTGACCCAAAATAAAATTGCAAAAAGGAAAGGCAGATGATGATGAAGTTCAAAAAGGAAAATAGAGTGTACTTGAAATAATTGTGTTGCAAATTGTCTTGAGTAACAAAATTGTGATAGTTTTTGGCGTTTTGGATAAACAGAAAATTCCTACAATTTTTAAATATGATTAAATATACCGCTGCGCAAACAACACGAAAATTAACGACGTGTATGGGTAGTTCAATAATTTTAACTAAGGGACCATCAGCGAGACTTAAGCGCCTAAGCCTGCATAGCACTACTGAATTGGCATAGAAACGAGGAAATTCTAATTCGAATTATTACCTGTCACAAAAAGGAGATCCTGTACGACAACCGTAACCCGTCTCAGTGGGTGGACCCGGGTACAGCACCTAATCAGTGCGCTTTAAAAAAATTACCTATAAGAAGATGATGGTGACTGTCTGGTGGACCAGGGTTGGACTTGTACATTACAGCTTCTTGCCGAATGGCTCAATAGAGACAGCAGATGTCGATTGCCAAGAATTGCAAACAATGATATCCAAAGGTGACGGATTAAGAATACAGAGTGTCACCACCCCTATTCATCCCGTGGGGGTCGTAAGAGACGACTAAGGGAAGAAACTTCGCAAAACAACAGCACTGCAGAGAGAAGGAAAAATTGACACAAACCCTTTTTTTTTTTTTTTTTTTCTTTTTTTTTTTTTTAACGTGTGGAAATCCCCTCGGACCGTCACCCCTTTTTTTTTTTTTTTTTTTTTTAACGTGTGGAAATCCCCTCGGACCGTCACCCCTCCGGGGTTTGCGGCGGGGTGGTGTGTCGGACTCGGACCGACTAAAACCACACGGTGTGCCACTCTGCGCCTGTAACAGGAGGGATCCGGGAACAGCTGTTGTTAAGACATCCGGACCCCTCCTAGCGCCAGCCCGCTCCTGGTGCGGGCTCCGTCTCGATGTTGTTCCTCTCTTTAGGCGGCGTCCGGCACACGCGGACGCCGCCCCCTCGCGGCTGGCCAAACTAATGCGGGTGGAGGGGAAACCCACCCCGTCCACCCGCGGCCACACTCAGGGCGGCATGAGGCTGTGATATGCGGGCCTCCGCCGCCCGGTTCGCCGGCGGCGGATCGGGTCCGAGTGGAGGTCGTCCTCCCGGGCCCTCTCCGCCGCCTCCTTCCGCGAGATTACTACCTCGCAGAAGGTTGCGACCGCGGTAAAACAACTGTCGCTACCGGCCATGGAGCGTACTACGGCCGGTAGCGAGAGATCCACTCCGATGACTGCAGTGAGGGCCCGGCGCTGCGCCGCCCATGCAGGGCAGACCGCCAGCGTGTGCTGGGCCGAGTCCTCACTGCAGTCGCAGTGGTGGCAGGCGGGACTCAGTTCCCTCCTAGCGACCGTGTGCAGGTACTTTCCGAAGCAACCGTGCCCGGAAAGCACCTGCGTCAGCCGGAAGGAAAGGGTCCCGTGCTGCCGCCCTGCCCACTCGGCGATGACCGGCTGGAGAGCCTCCACGACGGCGAAGCCAGCGCGTGGAGTCTCCAGCCGGAACGACCAACGAGCCATCGTGGCTCGGCGAGCGGCTTCGCGCCACTCGCGCACATCCTCTCACAAGAGGGGTCCAAGAACAGACCCCTGTGGAACACCGCACGACATGGGCCGACACCTCAGATTACCTTCTCGGTCCTCGTACACGACGGTACGCTCCTCTAAATAGTCTGCCACCAGCCGCCTCAGGTACTTTGGCACCCCATGATAGTGGAGTGCTTCCCTGATGCAGCTGAATGGCAGACTATTGAATGCGTTCGCGATGTCTAATGACACCGCCAACAGCACGCCGCCACAGCTCACGGCCTCTTCGGTCACGGCCCTCAGGCGCAACACGGCGTCGACTGTCGAACGCCCCGCCCGAAAACCAAATTGGGCGTCGGACCGTCACCCCTATACCAACCCGTCTGGCCAGCGTGGTATAGTAGGCCAAAACCTCCTTTAAAGGAGAGGCTTATGTCCAGCAGTGGACGGTTAACACCTGTTGAGGAGGATGCAAACAATGATGGAGAACACGGCTGGTCAATCGCTCTTCCCCATTGCTTCTCCACGATAACGCTCGAGCTCACACTTCACGACAGACCATCACAAAACTAGAAGAGTGATACCTGGAAGCTCTCCGTCACTCACCGTAGTCACTGAATCTTGCCCCAACAGATTTCTACCTTTTTCAAAATTTAGAAAAAAAAAAGTGGAAATAACTCAACACCCGAGAGGCAGTATAAAACGATTTTGTTGACTTCATCGCCTCTCGTCCAGCAGACTTCTACAGTAAAGGGATAAACAAACTGCCATCAAAATGGCAACATCGTATAGATAATTTGGGTCATTACTATGATTAGCTAAAATGAAAAAAAAAATTATGTTTAATATTTTCACACAAATCTTCAACTTCATAGGTGACCTAATATACATATAATAATTTTACTTTTACTTTTTAAAATATTTACAACAATGGACATTTAGCACCCCATGCTTCTTTACGATAAAATGTTTTGTTTTCTGATTAATCTTATTATAACCTCTTATAATACATAAAATGTGTGTACAAACTGTAAACAAATAAACTATTATCTGTCCATCTCTCTATCTAACCGGTGAATAGCAGTGAATAGCTGTTTTTTAAATATTGCTTAAGTAATATCGCATTTACATTGCTGATACAAGTTATAATATGATATTTTGTGCATTTTGCATTAGACATTTATATGTAAATAGTAAAATTTTGCAATGAATTAAATCTTTTCTGTATTTTTATTTTCATATGAAATATCCGTAACTTTGTTTTATGTCGCTACACTGACATCCTCGTTTCAGTGGACTTTTTTTGCGACAAGACTTGTGATACAAGAAACGATTTTTGTGTCAAACTTTCAATATTTCAATACTGAACAAATCTACCACGTATTTTCGTTTGTTACAGAATGAAAGTTGCAGTCTGTGTTACAATATTACTATGTAGTATGTACTATGTGTATGTGTATGTTAAAAATCGGGATAATATACTTGGACTTAAATAGTTTGTACAACTTAGCACGCTTAAAAAATGATTTCCATGTATCGGGAACAGTAGTTTTTCCTGTATGAAAAGTATCCTAGAACCATTTTTGTATCCCTGGTAATGTAATAATACGGTATCAGAAACTTACAGCTTACCACACAAATATACAGTTGACTAAATATATGAAGGCTAACCAACAGTTTTTAAACTTAGTACCTTTTTAAAATAATAAAATTGTATAATTAATTAGATAAATCTAAACACCTCAGTAAAAGACAAACAACTTTAGTGCATGCACTTATATACGCATTCTCTAAATTTATTGTTTTTTTGTGTAATATCAATTAATACATCTTTTAGAAGAGAAATCTGTAGTCTGAGTAAACTAATTATTTTTTTGTGCACATAAGAATCATAAAACTATTTTGGCAATATTAGATTTATACACAAGGTTTTTAATCTTGTCACACTCAAAAATGACAGACAGTTGATAGTACATTTTGCTATTTGAAAAAGATTTTTTCTAGCCTGCGATACCTTTTTATTTAAACAACGGTATTGTATTATAACTCACTTGTTTTGTTAAAAATCAATGTTTAAACCTAAAATGCATCCGGCTGCACAATCTCGTACGTTCTGATAAAAAAAACCAACTCGTTTTATTGTCTTTATTATGTACCTATTGTACATAATCAAGACAGAATAAAACGAGTTGATTTTTTAACGTTAAAAGTTAAAGAATTTGTATTCCTTATTTTTTTTTCTTTTTATATTGCTAAAATTACTAGGAAAGATAGTAATATTCATAAAATTTTATGTTGATCGATTTAATAACTCAGGAATGAACATAACTAAAAATATAAATTCTAATATTATTACCAATTTATGCGTTAGAATTTTTATGGTGCAACAGAGAGAACACAGCGATGGTAGAAGATAGAGTTACTAAAGTGTACTAACCAACAACTCTCATAAAAGCGCTTTTGTAGACCGTATGGAAGAATGGTGCATCAGCAGAAACCTCACAACGGTAGCGACCGCTGAGACCACGCGTCACGCCCCTCAGTACTACTTGCTGTGCGCCAGATCTCGATACCTAATGAGGCAAAGCATATATAATCGTACGTTATTATAAACATTTATTCTAAAAGTTTAGCAAGGGCTGAAGGTAAAGGCTGACAACAACTTTAGTGTTACAATTGACATCTCAGGATTGGATTGGATTTGTTTTCCAGGTATACAGATATATTAGGAGTAAGATTCTTTGATGATATTGACGGTCAAAATATTTTAGCATTTAAATTTGTTTTTAATAGAATGTTTTGAAATGGAATGATTTGACAGGCTTTTTATATCACAATTATTTATATTGATATACAATAGTATACGGTCTACATATGTATATAACATATGTAGACCGTATACTCCTGCCGTGACAGAAAGGGCGAATGGAACTTTTGCTTTTTTGATAAATAATATCTATATTTTTAAACACTAGGTAGTAGTCATTTTACTTGTATTTTTGTACAGAAAGAATAACAAGTACATTCTCGTTGCTCTACCAGATCATGTAAATATTTATGTGATTCAGATTTGATCTGGATATAGGGATCACTAAACATCTTCAATTCATTAATGCGTGGGTACTTATATAACAAAAAAAATACGAAAAATATTGTAAAACACACACATCCAAGTTTTTATATCAAACAAAAGAAAGTAAAGCAAACGCACGAAACGAAGAAAGTGCTAAAATAAACACAATCAACGCAATCTTAAACCAAATAGATACTACAATCAGTATATTTTATCTTATGATACTACAATACGGTAAAAGAAGGTGAGTGCTCACTGATACGAATATGATGTAATGAAATAAGCTCGCGATAAGAGGTACCGTACCGAAGAAAATGTTTTATAAAGCCGTGATACTTTCCTAACAAAGTTTCGAGACTTCGATTTCCTCATTTCGGGAAGCTTTTAAACACACAACACTCTTCGCTTGAATCTTATTAGTCCTTTCATGTACATAAGTAAAACTTAACTTGCTTGTGAATACATAATGCAAGGAAAAGTAAACGCAGATGAAAGGTGGGTACTTCATCGCAGGTGTTCGAATATATTTTAAGACAGACAACATAATTTTTCACAATTGTGCATATTATTGTGTCTGATAATAGTGGAGAAATTTACTCTACAATAGTTGGAAAAGGAACAATTTATCACAGGCATATCGATTCATATCCCAAGTTTTACTGAAAACAGTATATACTTCATGTCAGGTAGCGGTCTCTGAAGCATATTTGATTGATGTTGATGAAAATACATGATTTATATGAATCATCGTATAATCTCATAACAAAGAGTGGAGTGCATTTCACCGTACGCGCCTGCTAGCGCTTCAAATTGAAGTAAAAGCCTCGATCCTTCTTACGGAAAGTCCACTTTGAGAAACCGGCAAACTTTATCACGCCCGTCCCGTGTTCAACAGACGTCCGACGATTTTTAAGGGTTACATCGTATTTGAAGTCGAGTGTTGTGAATTGTGCCTAATGGCCAGTGAAGCTCCAATGCAAAACTTTGATTGTACTTTTTTTATTCAATGGGATTGAATGTATTATGTTTGTACTACGATATAATTTAAATGTGGCTACGTGCCAAGTGCCAAGAGTTAACGGCTTAACGTAGCTCTCGGCAAAATCCTTAAGTGTTTTTTCAACTCTCTCACGAAGTTAAATGAAGTATCAAGATGTCGCAAAGCCGTTGACCCATATATAATCACAGTTATGACATTGTTTATAATAGTCTTGCCGTAAGTAAGCCATTTTCTTAAGAAAGATTGTTTCTTTTTATTTCTGAATTTACGCAGAACGGTTAATAAAAAAGCACAAACTCATTCCTTACAAGCGTTTTACTTAGTTTGTCGCGCTAAGTGGGCGTTTTAATTGTAGCTAATATTTTTTCTTGGGCTTTATGAAAAAAACTTTCATTTTCTTAAAACAAAGTCTGCGAACTCATCGTCCGTCGTAACGAACCATGACTCAATCTTTTTATCGTAATCTTTCCTTTGTCTGATTAGTATCGATTGAGTAATCCATTGGAGCTGTTATTTGACTTGATTAGAACAATGTGACTGATCAATTTACGTCGATTTGCAATCTATTGAGGACGAACGAGGGATATTTGGATTTACATAAGTAATGACTCTGGGAATATACAATTAATGCGCTATGGACTTACGTCGACGCTGATTCCTGTTTGAGAGAAGACTCGAGTATTGGGTAGTTCCTTAGGTACAAAACGAAAGAACTCCTGTGCGCCGTGGTACCACTTGACGGTATAGAGTGCCTCGCCCACGTCCAGCGCCCAGCGGCACCCTAGCGTTGCACTTGAACCTACGCCTACGGCTTCAGGAACGTTCAGCTGGATGTCGCGCAGGCCTAACACGCCTGTATAAAAAAAAAAGTATTTTCGTTAGTTATGTAATTTTTATATTATACCAGCTGGTACCAGCGACTTCGTTCGCGTGGTATTTAAAAAGCGCTGCCTTAGTGGGTTCTATTCCCGGACCGGGAAAAGGTTTTTCTGAGAGGAGAAATGGTTTTAAGTTACTCCTTACATAGACAAATAACTGGTAGTAAAATATTATCAAAATCGGTTAAGCCGATTAGAAGATTACCCGGAACAAATAGACATACAGACAGACAGTCAATTTCTATTGGTTTTATTTGGTATGTCTACTGGTTTTTAGGCACAGGTATCGTGCAAATAACCGTGTGAGCACGAAAACCACCTATTATTTTGACATTACAAACAGACACTTCAATTTTATTTATTTTTATGTATGTATAGACGATCTGATTATAGTATTAATACGATGAAACTATGTCGAATTTTCTTTTGAAGAGAATACCCGCACTAGGAATATATCCTGTGTTGCGGAGACTTTTACAGATATACATGAAACGGACACAAAGAACACCCAGAATTTTTGAATAAATACTTATTTATGAAAATGGTATTGTTTTTTTATTCATTGTACGAGACTTATTTTCAACACATATTAAAAAAATGGCACATACAATCCAAAAAAAAACTTGTGTATCATTGAAGAAAATGTTACATACTCATAATGAATTGTATACTAGTAGTGCTACCTACTCAAGTTAACGCAAACAATTCTTGTACCTCTTGTATTGGTAATCTAAACACTTAAATACTACTCCATCATAAGACATCTGAGTCACTAGTCTCAAGACTTCACCCTAGCGACTATTACCCTAGCGATCATAAATATACTATGGAATGATATTAAAAAACGTCATATACTGAATTAAGTTGCACAAAAATAATTTATATACATAGGTAGGTATTTACCAAACTGTAGCGGTACCAAACTGTGTTTTTTCTTTTTTAACCGAAAAAAATATGAAGCTGTAAAAACCGAACATGACGTGACACATTTTACTGGCGTTTTTGCAACATAAGCGTATACAACGCGCATATAAGTTTTAGCAACAGGCTTATTAGGTACATATCGATTCCAACATCAAAGTACGACGTGACCATACGGAACGGAAACGGGCCGTCGCCGTTTTGGTAAGAAAGCAACGATACAATTCAGTCGAAGACGTCAACTAAAACAATTTCTCAGAATACAAACTATTCGAGAAGACAACCCTCCCTTTGCCTAAAGCTAAAGGCCCGCTTGCAAGCTTTGAACCGTTGCAAGCTTAAAACCGTTGATAACTCTTAGAAATCGGCTTTGCAACCGAATTAAAAAGCTTCATCCATGGATTCACCGTGCGGGTGCTGAGTCCATTGCGTGATAGGGCAGCAACACGTGCAACTGCCACAGCGCCTTAGAATTGCGACCCAAGGGTAAGTTTAGCGAGTACTCCTTGCAACGCGTTAGCGCTCACCTCCACTGTCTACTGTGTAACCCCACCTACCTGACCATATTTGACACGAGCCTAGCAATGTTGCTTTGGATATTCGTTCAAGAATCTTGAAGATCCAAGGTCTTTAAGCAGGTTATAGAGGGATTTAGATGGAATACCCCTCGTACCCAGGTCCACGGCATATAACGAAATATCAATTTCTAGTTGTTTTGTTGGTTAAGTCAAAATACTTATTCCTTTTTAAGGTGGTGTCTTTAGGGATGATCGTTTTTCACGGTACCGTGTGTTCTACTAGTACTACACGCTTAATTGACTTTGCATAGAGAATTCTGTTTGGACTAGACACCTTGAAGATATCCTTTAGTATTCTGTAATGATTTTGTAATGATTAATAATTAAGAACGACTTATTTATAATAACGACGAATTATTTACAATAATATTTTATAATAATCTTTTGTGATGTCCTTTTTGTTGAGCCGTTGTTGTTACTTCTATTTTCGCTCTCACGGACTCTCGCCAGTGATAAACTAATAGCTTCGCGTATGATTTGTAGCACCCTATCATGACGATGAATAATGCCCGATACCTGTCCACCGTACTAGGTTCCTTTGGTTGGGTAGAGATTAAAAAATAATTGGAAGGCGGCCGGTTTATATCGTAAACCAGAAATGGTCAGTTGAGACGTTATGTTAAGTAGTTGTCGTAAATCCAAGCCTTTTTTTCGTTACTTATTGGCAGTTAGACCTACCTTATCAATATCCTTTACGAAGTCATCGACCATTGCGGTCATACATAAGGTACGACCTTTCTAGTCTATCTTTCCTCCAAAGAATTTAAAGGGCACGGTTTCTGATATCGTTGAAACACTTTCCCACCAATAGTAAGCCCGGGGTCATATGAGGCACATCTAATACCTCACCGGCCGTCATTTGCTAGACTTTGTCCTCATTCCCTCCATCCAGGTACAGAAGCCATCCACCTTACGCAGTAGTTCTGAGCACTACTTAGGGATACGTGTGAGGATCGCAAGGTCATCTGTGATAGCTAAGATGGGTTTCGTATACTTTACATTGACCTTAATCCGGTAGTCCATCTCTTTTCATATGTTGCAATATTGTCCATTAAAATATTTAAAGCTGTATAAAATACTACTGGTGATAGCTAGCTACTTTGTGTTCAAGGGGTTTTGTATGTCCCTCTTTTGCTTTTATTTCAATTTTTTTTACTTTAGTATGATGAAATTATTTCACAAACTAAAGGCGGCAAGTCATACCATTTCAAGGAAAATAACATGAGGTCCTGTCATACTAAGCCAAAGGCGTTTTTAAATCTATCCAATCAAACTGTTATTTGCCTTTCCATTATCCTAACATCTTTGAGACTTGTCGCAACTAATGAGTCATTTTCCAGACATCCAGAGATTCCGGGCATGAACCCTTAAATATAACAGACAATTAAACGTAAATAATTAATTAAACATAATGTTTAACGTTTCGCCGTTGAACAATTACGTTTGGCGAGTATAAAGTTTAAATCCAAGTAGTAATTAGATTTAAGTTACTATGGTGAATTAAATTTAAAAAAAAAACATATAATGCTTATGACGACTTGCCATTTACACTTTTGTGAGCTGAAAGTAGTTGAAAGAAGGGAGGCTTAGATCTCACTCGTCTATTATAGCCATCGGGCTGTCTGTAATCAAACTGCTCAGACAGCTGTAGGTTTGGTAAAGCTTAATGGATAGATTTCTGTTTCTTTGTTGAAATAATATTTAGAGCCTTAGATTTAAAATTTGTACTCTGTAGGGAGCTTCAAACGATCGAAAGTACCTCAAGATTTTCTATACATTTGAAATAGCTCAAATAGGGGTGTTGGCAGATACGAAATGATTATATTTATTTATTTCAAACTTTATGCACTTTTGTACATCCGCGGACTTAAACCCAAGGCATTTTCTTCCAGTCAACGTTTGGATGGTGTAGAAATCTTATAAGGTAGGTGCACAGAGGTAACATGTAATCAATGAACATAATTAGATGGTTCACTTTTTATATAAACTTATATTAATATCATCATCAATAAACTGCCAATGCGTTGGCAAAGATGCGTCGATTGCATGGGTGATTACTTCGAATAACAGAAATAAAAAAGTTTGAAAAAATAAGTACTTTCACTTATTGCATACAAAACGGTAATTTCATAGGTAAAGACTTATTATACACACATGGTTTTGTATAAAAGCGCGCCTAGAGATGCGCCCTAGAGATTGCCGAAGCGTCTTGACACGCTTGAGGTGTGGATTCTCCTATAGGTATTATCAGAGCGCAGACCATACTATTAGAATAATAACAAACGATCAAACTACTCAAAACTTACTCTGTCACAACTGGTAACTATTTAAATTGCATAGTGTATTTTATAGGACAGATAGTTTTACTCGTATGTGCTTGTCACGCATGAAGTAATTCTGTTTTGAATTCATACCAAAACTATTGCAGCAAGCCAATTAATATGAAATATTAGTTTGGTGGGATACGAAATGTTACAAATACATACATATGTTTGGTTTAGATACAGTCGTATGTAATTACGAATTTTCGTGGTATTAAAATGGTTTGTTATTGATACTATCACTGGATTAAGTTGTTTTCAAGTCTCAAGGTAAAGCTAGACACAGTGTCTCCATCTTCCCAAATAATAGAAAAGTGCATTTGTCATAATTCAAGGAATCATTTAAGTTGTAGGCTTCCTGTACTCAAAATCTATTATTTTATACTTACCTACTATTTTATATGTAATTATCATTGGTTCTAGCCGCAGGCACTATCCAGACCTTATCTGTGTACAACAAGTAGTTCGAACGGGTAGTGTATTACTTTTCTAGTTTCATCAATATCTTTAGTAAAACATTAATGATTAAATACTAGCTGTTCCCAGCCATGCTTCGCTGTGGCACATTGTGGTTATATTGATGAGAAATAAGAACCAAAAGTAGTGCGAAAATTAGACAAAACCTATCTTTAAAGCCTGTTGTATATCGTGTCTAAATTTGAGCTCAATCGGTGGAGAACTTTTTGAGTTTTACAAGCGTATATGTCGGTGTCGAATAACAAAGTTATTTAAGAATATATCTATCTATTTCAATTTAATAAATTAATTTAAAACAAGATTGAAGTTTGAAATCACTCAATCAATTGAGCTTGAAAATGACTGAAGAAGGGTCGATGGGCGTTGATCCTCAGGATCATCGTCCAATGTCACCGGTATTGCAACGGATTTTAGTTCCATCCGAAATATACAAACCAACTTAACATTTTTTTTAATAGACTATATTATAGAAGATTTTTACTTATATATTTTTATTGTGCTTAATTTTAACTTGACATTTCAAATCTATTATACGAGTAATATGGTATTAAAAAAAATCTTTAAATCTAAATTGCTTTCAAACAAGTGGGTGAGGTTGCCAGATGTATTACAAGTAACTCGTCGGCAGTGTACCATAAAAGACATTTATATAAATACAAAACTTGATTTTAAAACTGGGCTACTGCTTGATAATCCTGTTGTAACTATTGAATCGTAAAGAACAGAGTGAAAAGAGGTGAGTTGCAGGCGTTCGTGGGCAGCGGTAGTCACTTTCCATCGGGTGACCCGTCTGCTCGTTTGCTCTCTCTATCATAACGAAACAGTAGGATATTGTTTAACAAGACCATTTATCTCGGATTCTATTTAAGCGAAATAGTAATCGGTCCATGCAAATATAAAACTCTTCTATGTAAAACACTTAAACTCCGTGTCACTAAGACGGTGCCACATTACGTATAGATAGATATTTATCTAAATGACTATGTCATGCATCGACTCACTATTTTTACCTCAAGAGAGCTTGAGGTCGTAGTTTAACGATCAAAACCACCGCAGTTTGATGTAAGATAACGATCTTATTGGTACTTTTCAATTGGATACCATATAAGCTCTCGAAGCAGCTGTATTAACCTTTAGGGAATAATTCAATATATGCGCTTAAAGTTTTACAGTCGTATCTTTATTGTAATGTGGAGGTACACTTATGAACTAAATGTATCAATAATGTCACCTCTTGATATAATCCAGCTATAATCAAACTTAACGTTTTGTAAAAACTTTATAATAACGGTAACGGGAAAGTTTCTTAATATATTTAAGCTACTATTTTTAGCTACGCATTTAAGCATGTTGAATAATT